GGAAGGGACCCCGGACCAGCCGGTGGTAACCTCTTGTGGGGCTGAGCGGGATGATGAGTGTCGCAGGCCCGATCCCCTCTGCGCTTCGGCCCCGGGGACAAAGAAAGAACACCGAGCCAGGAGAGCGGTCAAAGCCGGAACTCTGTTTATTACAGCAAGCAGGGGTTTTTATAAGGTACCAGGGGCGGGGGAGCTCTTATCCAATAGGGAGTTGACAAACCGCTACCCGGGAGGAGGGGTGAGGACAGGGCAGGCGGGAAAAAAGTGCAGAGTCACCGTACCCCGGAAGTTAGTTCTTTTAAGTTTTGAGTTCTCTGCTTAGGTTTCGGTTTCCCAGAATCAGCCCGAAGCAAGTTTAAAATGGCTGAGGTACTTTCCCAAAATGGCTGGCGGCCCGGGTGTAGCCCAACAATTTAGATTCTACATTTAGTTGATGTCATGAAGTATTTAATTCACAATGTAAACACTTATTAAATCAAGTTGTACACCTTAAATATGTACCCCTTTAAATTGTCAATTATACTTCGGTAAAATTGGAAAAAAATTAAAAAATACATTGTTATTATTAGAAAAAAGTAATAAATTTACCATGTTTAAAAAAATAGAAATGAAATAGGGAGGTTGAGTTGTAAATACTTATGTCACGGGGGGTAGGCCTCAACTGTGGTCACCTCAGAATTGAAGATTTAGGATGAAGGGTAGATTCTGATAATATGTCAAAATGGGCAAGCAAACATTAAAGCTTCAGAGCCAGAGATCAAACCAAAATTTACTGTTCATTAACACTTTTCACCACAGTCACTTTTCAACAGCTTGTGGGATTTCCCCCTTCATAAGAGTAGAATCATCCACCTTCAAACGAAACAGATTAATTCTTAAATATAATTTAATACTAACCATTATTTAAAGAATTAAGTTAAGCCTTTATTTTTAGACATATATAAAAAAAAACCCAGGAGATGCATAATTTTGAATTATATAGAAAGGAAAGAAAAAGCATTCCTTTCCATGCCATAACATATATAATGTTTCATGAAAATTAACTTTTTGCTGTTTTTCCCAAGCCAGCCACATTGAGGCTGAGTGTTATTGGCCGATTAAAGACTCTTACTCAGTTAAATGGACTCCTCATTTCTGAAGAAGAAGCAACAGCAGCTATGAAATTTATTACTGGAGCAAAGATTACTCAGGTTGGATTTTATTATTTAATATGTCTTGTGCTATTTAGAACATACAAACAAAATTTTCCACACTCTTTTTCTGTCATTAAGATATTGTATTCCCTCTTAGCATGTTAATAAAAAATTAATGAATATATAGCAATCATACCACTTGATTTCTTTTCTGTTTAAATGTACCTCATTTAAATAACAACTGGTTGTATGGATTATCTTAACACATTCCTGAACACCACCCCCAAAAACAACTCTAGGGTAACTGGTTTTTTTCCTAGTCACTTGAACTCACCAGAGTCCTTCCTAGAGCCTACATGAAAATAAGCAACTTTCTGAGGATAAGGTAAGCTTAGAGGACTTGAGAAAGCATTTAGTGAATTATTTACTTAGTATTGACATTATATGTGTCTTGCTGAAAATAACAAAACCTATTAGCATGAGGGCAGGGGAAATATCTATTTTATTCAGATTAAGAATGCTGTACTTTAGCCAGAGTAGCTTCAACATCCTAAATATCTCCACTCTAGTTATCTACCTAGATAACAAGAGTTATCTAGTTTGTGGGGTATTTGCATATTCATTTCTTTAACAATGCAATATTTAATTTTGGATCTATTCAAAATGAAGGAAAAAATTTTTTTTGTTGATAAACATATAATTAACACTCCTAAAGAAGATTTGGGAATCTACTGTACCAGAAATCATAGCCTTCTAAAATCCTTTAAGACAATGTGTTATTGGCACAGACTTAGACCTAGTGGAACAGAATAAAGACTAATATGTATCCATACGTCTGTGGAAACATAATAACAAACCTGTCTTTGCAGATCAGGGTGGCTATTCAATAAAAGGCACTGGGACAAGTACATTAAGGACTTCACTGTAAAAGTCAAAACCAAAAAATGTTTTAAAATATCAGAGATGATCATTATGACCTTGAATCTGGGAAGCATTTCTTAGGAAAGAAACAAAAAGCATAAACCATAAAAGATTGGATTTGTCTACATTTAAATCAATATATCTTTTCCTCAAAGGACTCCATAAAGAAAGTGAAAAGACAAAATACATACTGGAAGAAGAAATTTGTAGCATAACTGACAAAAGATATTTTTTATATATCTAGAATATATAAGGAAAAAGACAACTAACTGAACAGAAAAATGAGCAAAAGATTCAGACACTTCATTGGTGAGGAAATCAGAACAACTTCGGAAATGATGCTCCAGCTATAGTATGACAGATAATGAACATTAAAAGCAAATGACCTATCAATTTTTTGCCAGTTTTACAGATTGGAAAAAATTTTAAAGGCTGACAATATCAAATTTCATCAAGGATATAAAGTAAATGTTATGATTGGTGCAAACACTTTGGAAAACAACTTGGCATTATCTAGTGAATATATATACTCTACAACCAAGCAACTTTACTTAGGGGCATATACTCTAAAGAAACTTGCACATATGTACCAGGAGACATACACAAGACTTTTCATGACAACAATGTTTATAACAGAAAAAAACTGAATCAACCCCAATGTTCATTAATAAGACAGTGATCAAGGGACTACCATAGCGCAATGAAATATGAATGAACTATCATTATACATAGAAGCATAGATGAATCTCATGAATATGATATTGAGCAAAAGAAGTCATAGAAGAATATATACATATTATTCAATTTACATAAAGTTCAAATATGTTAAAGACTAAATGATATATTGTTTATAGACACAAACGGGCATAAAGCAAGGAAGTGAATGATAGACAAAACATTCAAGTGATTGCTTCTAAGGAGGAGAGGGAAAGGCTTAGGGTGGGGCCCACAGGAACCTTGTGGGTATTAGTAATATTCTAGCTCTTAAGCTGGTTTCATGGATGGATTATATGGGTGTTTGTATTATAGTAATCCTTTTGCAGTCATAAATATGATCTGGTAATGGTTCAATATTTGCTAAAATAATTAAAAAGTGAAAAATTTTAAATGTATCCAGATTTTAAAAACATTTTAAGGCAAAGGAAATGTCATATTTTGAAATTATTGGGCCACTCATCTTCCCTAGTAAACAATACTTTTAACTATGTGTAAATGAACCTTTGTAAGCTATTTCCTTTATTCATCACATATTTTTTATTTTATTAGTTATCTCTCTTACGACGTTCTAGCACTGAGGAGGAGAGACCACGGATACTTAGTATATGGCCTTCTGCCAAAATTCTGACACAGATTTCAAAGTTAGGACCACATTTACATCCGAGTGGAAACTGGTACTTGAAGGTAAGGGCTAATTTTATTAAACCTGATATAAAAGCTTAATTTTTAAATTGATCTTTTAGTCAGCCTCGGTCTGTGTAGTATAAAGAGGGCACAGATAGGTAAGAGACAGAAAATTGGAAGAGATGAATTAAAATAGGGAGGGAACACTTAATATCTACCCTTTTAGCAAATTTCAAGCATGCAATACAGTATTATCAACTTCAGCACAGTGTTATACATTAGATCTCCAAAACTTATTCATCCTGCATAACGGAAACTTTGTACACAACCCTTGTCTGGTATCTCCCCATTTTCTCTTGCCCCAGCCCCTGCCAACCACCATTCTACTCTTTGCTTCCATACGTTTGACTTATTTAGTGTTGGTTCCTCGCCACCGGGGACCAACAACACAGGGCGGGAAGGGACCCCGGACCAGCCGGCGGTAACCTCTTGTGGGGCTGAGCAGGATGATGAGTGTCGCAGGCCCGATCCCCTCTGCGCTTCGGCCCCCGGGACAAAGAAAGAACACCCAGCCAGGAGAGCGGTCAAAGCCGGAACTCTGTTTATTACAGCAAGCAGGGGTTTTTATAAGATACCAGGGGCGGGGGAGCTCTTATCCAATAGGGAGTTGACAAACCGCTACCCGGGAGGAGGGGTGAGGACAGGGCAGGCGGGAAAAAAGTGCAGAGTCTCCGCACCCCGGGGGTTAGTTCTTTTAAGGTTTGATTTC